TGCAAACTAATACAGAATAAAGTGAGCAAAGAAAAGAGAAGAAAATGAAAAAAAATAAAACAAAACACACACAGAACTGTAGAAAGAAAGGATAAAAAGAAATAGAAATGAGAAGTTTCCAATTTCTTTTGCAGCAAATGCAAATATGATTACACAATGTGCAAATTTACTCTATAGTTATAAAAAGAATGTGCGTGTTTTTCTATTATCTGTCTGGTTTTTTTTTTTTTCTTTTATCACTGAAACCACAAGACATAAATGCATTTTTTTTCCTGTCTCATACAAAAAAATCTATAAGGGATTTCCTATCAGCCATAAATGTAGATTTTTGTCATTTCTCTAATGAAAGAAGTTAATTCTGGGAGAAGGGCGGTATACAAATTAAATAAATAAATAATAAATAAATAATAATTTATTCACCTCTACAAGATCGTCACCAAGAATTACCTCATTGTGGATAGTGTTGAAACTTTCCACTTTTCACGCACATAAAAACAATTTCCATTTTCTAGTGGTCTGACCAGTGATGGGTTCCTCCCGGTTCGGCCCGGTTCTCCCGAGCCGGTAGCGGTGACGATATGATGTCACCGAACCGGTTCTGCCCCCCTCCCCGCATTATTCTTACCTTTTATTTGGCCCCACCCCCAATCTATTGCTGCCTCCTGAGTCCCAGCTGATGGCTAGAGGGAAAAAACTGTTTAAACTCTTGCCGCGGGGCTTCAAAGGGCCGCCCTACAGCTGATCAGTGTTAAAAGAAAACAAATGAGTAGACCAGTGCCTGCAAAAATAAATGGGTAGACCAGTGCCTGCAAAATACATGAGTAGATCAGTGCCTGCAAAAATACATGAGTAGATCAATGCCTGCAAAAATAAATGGGTAGACCAGTGCCTGCAAAAATAAATGGGTAGACCAGTGCCTGCAAAAATACATGAATAGGTCAGTGCCTGCAAAAATACATGAGTAGATCAATGCCTGCAAAAATAAATGGGTAGACCAGTGCCTGCAAAAATAAATGGGTAGACCAGTGCCTGCAAAAATATATGAGTAGATAAGTGCCTGCAAAAATACATGAGTAGATCAATGCCTGCAAAAATAAATGGGTAGACCAGTGCCTGCAAAAAATAAATGGATAGATTGGTACAGCTCTGCAAGCAGTTAAAAGCCTGGTAGACCAGTACCTCTGCTAAATCCTAAATAATTGTCACATGACCATCAAGCCACGCCCACAAAATAAGCCATGCCCAAAGAACCGGTAGTAAAAAAATTTAGAACCCACGCCTGGGTCTGACCATTAGTCCCAAAAGAGGAAGCTCTGGTGTTAATTGTACTTTAGTCTTTTAAATTTTGAATTAATTTATGCATATGTATCCCAAACTTTTGGGCTTTTTTTATACGTCCAGAAAACCTAATAAACTGTCCCTTCGTTTTGTTCCCATTTTCCAGCAAGGATCTGAAGTGCCTTTTATTCATTCTAGACAATTTCTTTGGTGTCAAATACCAACAATACTTCATGCAGTCCTCGACACACGACCCCAACTGAGCCCACAATTTCCATTGCTAAGCAAGACAGTTGTTAAGTGAGTTTTGCCTCATTTTATAACCTTCCTTTCTTCGTTAAGTGAATCACTGCAGCTGCCAAGTTAGTCACACGGTTGTTAAGTGAGTCTGGCTTCCCCATTGACTTTGCTTGTCAGAAGGTCGCAAAAGGCGGTCACGTGAGCCAGGGACACCGCGACCGTCATAAATATGAGTGAAGTGTCTGAATTTTGATCAGATGACCGTGGGGATGCTGCAATGGTCATAAGTGTGAAAAATGGCCATGAGTTACCTTTTTTCAGCGCCCTTGTAGCTTCGAACAGTCACTAAATGAATGGTTGTAAGTTGAGGACTACCTGTATAATAAAAAAATATCTTTAAGGTTAGAACAGAAGATAAATTTCAGTCCTTTCAACTACACGTTTTCCCATTCAATCATTTCTATACTGTCATCAGAATTTTATCTTACACTTTATCTTACATTCATTCACGGGTTCTCCTTCCGTTTCATATTTTAACAAAGGTTTATATGTTTTGTATAAAATAACACGTTCATTGTTAGTAGATGGTTCTCAAAGTCAGTATAGTATTGTTCAAAACCAGGCAACCTTAAGCACTCAAAGACCCACAAACCGGAAGCCCCCTGTTCAATTCTGGAACCGACCGGAAGTCCGGTTCCCCCCACCATAGAGTCTCCTAGCGGGGCATCCTTTCCCCCCTGCTGACCGAAAGTCCGCTTCCCATAGAAGTCTCACCATAGAGTCTCCTAGTGCAGCCTCCTTTTTCCTCTACCTGTCCTAACCGAAAGCCCTATCAATTGTGGAGCCCACCGGCGACAGGGAGCCGCAGCAGAGGGATGAAAGAGCCACATGCGGCTCCAGAGCCGCAGGTTGCCAACCCCTGTTCAAAACCATAACATCTTTTAAAACTTTCTGATAATGGATGCATGAAAAAAAAGAAAAACATGGACATATACCAACCATCGATATTGTCCAATCTTATCTTGATTTAATTGTATATCTACTTGGTAGAATTCTAGTTCATCGCACATGGTGAGTTAATCATTTATGTTACGGGACTGGGAAAAGATAATACAGAATTAGGTGCTACAGGTATGGATTTTTCTATGTTTTTTTTTTTTCCTGGTCGACAGTATTTGTCTACAAGAGACTCGTATCAAAAAAAAATATGTTTATAAATCCTTCAGCAAATAATTTATTACAGCAGATATTAAAAACAGAAACTGAGATATATATGAACATGTATTAAGTAACGAGTACATGACCAGGATTTAGTTGGTGGTTAATATAAAAGAATTAAACTGGGCAGGTAAGAAGATGGATGGATGGATGGAATAGATAGATAGATAGATAGATAGATAGATAGATAGATAGATACTGGTATATAGATACCGATAGATAGATGATCGATAGATAGATAGATAGATAGATAGATAGATAGATAGATAGATGATAGGTAGACAGACAGACAGACAGACAGACAGACAAGATGAGAGGGGAGGAGAGGAGAGGAGAGGAGAGGAGAGGAGAGGAGAGAAAGAGTCCATGACTTTTTATAAAAGTTCATGATTGGAATGGAGCAGTTCCCTGGACAACCTCTGAGGCAAATATTAAAATTACTCGGGGTAAATTACCGAAAGCTTTCTTTGATTTGATGGACGTAGGAAGATAACGGCGATTCGGTTTATTTAGCTGTAATAAATATGTGTTATTCAAAGCCCCAGCCTTTGATAATCTAATTTTACGGAACCAGTAAACAATCAGCTATTTTTCCCTCTGCTAATCTCCTCATTGACCTTTGTGGAAACGAATGACTTGCGGTTTAAGTCCCACCAAAGTGATCTTAATAAATAAGCAGCAAATTGGAATCTGGGTTCTGCTTAGCCAACACAGGGCTGAACCAATACTCACAATGCATTCATAAGGACTTGAGTCTAGGGAGGATCAATATATATATATATATATAATATATATATAATCGTCAACTACAAACACCATTTCAATAAATGTTTTCCATTCCCAAGGATTTTTACTTGGGAAAAATAAGTGGATAGGACTTGTTCGTCATTCTTGAGAACAAGAGTAGATCTAACCAGGGATTCAAATAACTTAACGACTGATTCTCTGCCCTAATGACCGGCTGGGTGGGTGTGGCCATGGTGGGTGTGGCCAGGGGGTGTGACAGGCAGCATTCGGCCTCCTGCACCCCCCTGGGAGCAAAAACAGGCCACCAGTGTGGCGGAATCCCCCTACACCTTGTTTTGGGCCTAGTAGGCCTCCCTGCAGCCTCCTGGGAGCAAAAATGGGCCGCGGGGGACCGCACCACACACTCCCACATATCGTTTTGGGCCTAGTAGGCCTCCCTGCACTTACCTGGTAGCCAAAATGAGGCACCTGGGGACTTCTGGAAGGGGCGGGGAAGGGAGGGGCCAGCCAGCAATTTAACAACCGTTTCTCCCGAATTGGCTGAATCCTACTACTGGTTCTAACAGAATTCAATGATGTTGGGTCAACTTAGCTGATTTGATTTCACCACAAAATTAAGTCAATTGCACACCAAGCCTTCCAGGGTGATCCTTGCAGGCAACCGAGTCTATTCTTCTAATATTTTTTCTACACTGTCCATATATCCACTGTTCATGTATGCCTTCATCCACTGTGTTGACCATTTGCGTTTAGCAAAAAGCAGGAAACAGATGCCATTTCTCACGTCGTAAAACATGGTCACATGACCATCAGTGAATACAAGTGGGTTGTTAATGCAGGTTGGTTGCCGAACACCCCAAACACAATAATGTAACTATGGGGGTGGGTGGGTTTGCAGCTGTTGCAACTTTGCAACCAGACTATAAGTATCCCCAGGGAGATCCATTGTAACTTTGAATGGTCACTAAGCAATCGGTTATAAATCAAGGATTGTCAGAGTTTGTTGCAGCACATACAAGCAGACTATTAAGCAGGTTTCAAAATATATAAGAAACTTCTTTATATACAATACAAACACATAAGGCATACAATACCCTTGTAGGTTTTTCCACAGTGTAGAGAAGAGAAATAGCAAGTACAAGCACAGCACAAAATGGAAGCTCAAAATGGAGGAGGCAAAATGGAGGAGGGAGAAGCTAGTGTCCTCAAGCTTATATACAGAACAGTTAAGCCACACCCAGGCTCCAAACTGTCTCTTATGGCCCCATACAACAAATACTATGTTTCAGTTACCAAACAGCCCTCATTGGCTGACCTGTTGCTATGCCCTATTCCAGTTTATGAATGTACTCTGACAAGGACTACCTCAGTGTCCTTCCTCAGTTATCATTTTTCCAGGTTCGTGGTCTCCAAACCTCCTGACTTTCTTTCTAAGCAAAATGTTTGAAATTCCTGGGTCATTTTCTTTCTTTCTTCCACACTTCTTAAAACTGTGTTGCATTCCTTTTCAAATGCAGTAACCAGAGCTTTACAAGTTCTCGAGATGCAGACGTATCAGATGAGCATTCCGATGTTGGTAGTTTAACTTTTCTACAATCCTTTTCTAATGATCTCTAGCCTGTCGTTTGCCTTTTTTCACAGCGGCAACCCATAAAGAATATTCATTTTTCACGGGAACAATTTGCTTTACTTCAAAATCTTCTTTTCTGTTGTTTTTTTTTAATAAAGATATTTGAAAGCACAACCATGGGGTTAAAGCAGAATATAGGATGAGAAAAAAAAAATTAAGCTGCGTAAAAGTGAATTAAGAACTGAAAGTAATATTAGGCATATCAAGATCCTTTTCTCTCCCTGATTATTTACAGGACCTCAGACCCCATTAGTGCATGTGTGAAACTGGCTCCCGCATGCATTTCATTTCACTTAATCAAATCAAAATTGCCAGTTTCAAGCGATCCTTTTATGGCCATTGCTTTCTCTTTTCCCCCGCTTTAAAAGTTTTGCTCCCAATTGCTCTAAAGTCCAGTTCAATCACGCTCAGCCTAGCCGGTTCGGTTTTCTCATGCGAAGGATGTACAAAAGCCTCTAAGAGTATTTTCTTAGATTTAAGGGGAGAGAAATAAATCACACAAATCACTTTCACTTTATAATGGTATTCAGCCGGATCGTCTTGATATCCATAGTAATGACTTCAACCAGATAGGTGGATTTTGTTCAGTCTTTTGCTGTGGTATTTCATTTGGGGATGAGGTTTTTTGGGATTGATTTCTCCATGTTTTTAGGTGCTCCTTTCCAACAGCCATCATCTAACCCACATTTCATTACCCTAACTTGGTAGCACTAATGTTGATACCTAATTTGGGTAATTAAATGTCTGCAAGAAAACAAGGAAGCTCAGAGAGCACCAAGGACCCCTCCTGTCAACCCTGAGCTACAAATATTCTCCTTTGTTAGCATCATCTAACCATCATCAAGAGCCATGATGGCGCACTGGTTAGAATGCTGTATTGCAATCTAATTCTGCTGACTGCCAACTGCCAGCAGTTTGATTTTGACTGGCTCAAGTTTGACTCAGCCTTCCACCCTTCCAAGATCGGTAAAATGAGGATCCAGATTGTTAGGGACAATATGCTTTTATTATTATATTTATTTTATTTTATTTTATTTTATTTTATTTTATTTTATTTTATTTATTTTATTATTTTATTTTATTTTATTTTATTATTTTATTATTTTATTTTTATTTTACTTTATTTTATTTTTATTTATTTATTTATTTATTTTTTTATTTTGTCAAGTGTATATAAGATAACAGGTAGAAGTATAAACATAATTTGAATACATGAAAAGAGTAAGAGTAAAAATTAACGTGCTTAACGTTATAGCCGAGATGGCGGTGGACACCCCCAGACTTGTCATCATGGGGGATTTTAACCTGCCATCTATCGGTGAAATGTCTGAAGTGGCTCGAGAGTTCATGGCTTCCATGACGGCCATGGACCTTACTCAGTTAATTCATGACCCCACTCACATAGGGGGACACACTCTGGACTTAGTTTTTGTTTCTGGTCAGTGGTTGAGTGGCCTTGATATAGGGGATATAGCCATCGAACACTTGTCATGGTCTGACCATTCGCTCCTTCGACTGGACTTTCTAACCACTGCACCCCGCCACAGGGAGGCGGGACCGACCAGGTGGTTCCGCCCCAGGCGCCTGATGGACCCTGATAGGTTCCAGATGGAGCTTGGGCCATTTCCTGAGATTCTGGCTCATGACTCGGCTGAAGATCTGGTGGCCGCCTGGGATAGTGCTGATACGCCAGTTGCGCCCCTTTCTAGATCGGGACTCCCTATGCACAGTCACTCAGGCACTCGTCACTTCCCGCCTGGACTACTGCAACGCTCTCTACATGGGGCTCCCCCTGGGGTGCACCCAGAGGCTCCAGCTGGTCCAGAACGCGGCCGTGTGGGGGATTATGGGGGCGACGAGGCGCTCCCATGTGACACCTCTCCTGCGCGAGCTGCACTGGCTCCCGGTGGTCTTCCGGGTGCGCTTCAAGGTGTTGGTGACCACCTTTAAAGCGCTCCACGGCTCAGGGCCGGGGTATTTACGAGACCGCCTTCTGCCACCAATAGCCTCCCACCGGCCAGTACGCTCACACAGAGTGGGCCTCCTCAGGGTGCCGTCCGCCAGACAATGTCGGCTGGCGACCCCCAGGGGGAGAGCCTTCTCTGTGGCGGCGCCCACCCTCTGGAACAACGTCCCCCCAGAGATATGTACAATAACAGACCTCCGGATTTTTCGTCGGGCCCTGAAAACCCATTTATTTCAGCTAGCTGGGCTGGCTTGAGTTAAATTTTAAACTGATTTTAAATTGGAATTTTTAATTACGGCCATAATATTTAATTATTTTAAACAGTTTTTAGATTTTGTATGTCTTGTTTTTACTTTGGCTGTTCACCGCCCTGAGTCCTATATTGGAGAAGGGCGGTATAGAAATTTAAACAAATAAATAAATAAATAAATAAATATTAGGACAGGGACGGTAGGCACGCTGGTGCACTTATGCACGCCCCTTACAGACCTCTTAAGAATGTTAGGAATGAGGTCAACAGTAGACAGTTTAAAGTTTTGGGGGTTTGGGGAAGAAACCACAGAGTCAGGTAGTGGATTCCAGGCATTGACCACTCTGTTGCTCAAGTCATATTTTCTGCAATTGAGTTTGAAGCGGTTTACCTTGAGTTTATATCATTTGCTCGTGTGTTGTTGTGGTTGAAGCTGAAGTAGTCATTGACAGGTAGGACGTTGTGGCAGATAATTTTATGTACTACACTTAGGTCAGACCGAAGTCGGCATAGTTCTAAATTGTCTAAGCCCAAAATTTCAAGTCTGGTGGCATAAGGTATTTTATTGAGGGTAGAGAAATGGAGGACTCTTCTCATGAAATATCTCTGGACTCTCTCGATTATATTTATGTCCGATATGCAGTGCGGGTTCCAGACAGATGAGTTGTATTCGAGAATTGGTCTAACAAAGGTTTTGTACGCTCTGATTAGTAGTACAATATTACCAGAGAAGAAGCTACGTAAGATTAGGTTAACAACTCTTAATGCCTTTTTGGCAATGTTGTTACAGTGGGCTCTGGCACTTAGATCATTAGAGATGAGTACTCCAAGGTAATTGACAGAGTGAGGGTCATCTACAAGGTCATGTCTATCTAATTTGTATTTTATGTTTTGATTTATTTTATTTTTTTGCTAATGTGAAAGACAGAGCATTTGTTGGTTGAGATTTGAAGTTGTCACTTGTTAGACCAATCTGACACATAGCCAAGGTCTTTTTGAAGGATAGATGCATTGTCGGTGGTGTTGAATAGTTTAACATCATCAGCGAAGAGAATACAGTTGCTTTTAATATGATCGCAAAGATCATTTATGTAACATATGAAGAGTGCTGGACCTAAAACGCTGCCTTGGGGAATACCACTATTAACAGGTACAGGATTTGATAGAGCGCTTCCTATTTTGACCACTTGTCTCTTTGACAGTAAGGCAGCTATCCATTTATGTAGGGGTCCAGAAATGCCGTAGGTTCTTAGTTTTAGTTTTTAGACTCTGTAAACCGCTTAGAGAGGGTTGTAAAGCACTGTGAAGCGGTATATAAGTGTAAGTGCTATTGCTGAGGCTATCATCAATAAATCATCAGCCGTCATCATCTCTATGCCCAAAACAAAGAGCCCATTAGTTCACTTTTGTTCATCAGATCTGCCTTGTGGTACTACTCTAAAACTCAAGGCACACTAAAGGATCTGAACATGGTTTATGATCCCCAGTGTTTGAAATTCGATTCAATCCAACAAGGTGATAAAGATAGGCTTCTAGAATGAAACCTCTCTCATTTCCATCCTTTAAGATTAGGCCCTAATTAAATCATGAGCCTCGAGCCAAGTTTCAAAAGAAATCCAGTTATTTATTAGGAGCTTCCTATTGGCACTACCCAAATGACGCCAAATCTGACCCCATGTAATTTACGGCCACAATCATGATCCTGTTTCCCCCCTTCCCCCAAGGTGTGTCATCAATCAAATATCCCAACGGAGCAATTTTGCGGGTGGTAGAGATCACTCCCCTCCGGCCACTGTGGGTAACCTTGGGAGACAGCCTTGAGAAAAATATGTCTGGAATGTGCTCCTGTCTTTGGCTGCCGTGTTGCTTCGCCGGCTTCCCATCCCCCTTGCCTATGGCAACTCGAGAGCAGGCCAGGAATGCTTTGCGAGTTGACAGTGTGGACTTCAGCTCCCAGAATTCCCATGGCTGGCTGGAGAATGGCCAAGGTCAGGTGAAACTGCTTTCAGACTTCCCAAAAGGGTCTGAAAAACACCTCAGAATCAAATTTTGCAGCAAGATGGCAAGGTATTTGTCTGCAAACAGGTGAAAATCTATCTCCCCTGACACCTCCAGCTTCTATTTCCACCTCAAACAACCCTCATACTGCTGAAAAATCATCTGTTTTCTGATAATATGTTAGCAGCCTGATTCCAGGCTGCAGAAAGCTTCAAGATGCCCAGCTTCTGTTTCAGAGAGAGTTTTTGTCAGCTGTCATTTATGGGATTTTTAGTCTGCATTGGGTTTTCATTAACCTTCTGTTATTTTCTTTTTGAGCAAACGCTCCTGTTCTGTCCAGAATCAGTTCTAGAGTGTGGGCTAAAACTCCATATTTTCAAATCAGAACGGAGAAATGCTCCCTACCCAGCAAATCTGTTACTAACACGTAAGTCACGTATGGCCAGAACATGTGTGGAAGACGTGGATGATTCAGAGGGTCCACGGAGGGGAAGTTCTCCGTTTCCTCATCAGAAAAGTGGTGGGTGGGTTTTTCCTTCGTTTCAGCTCAAATTACTCATGTTCTCTATTTCCAAAGAGCTTCCTGGAGTTGTTGTCCCTACGATAAGAGCGTGTTTTTCATAGGCTAAAGTGCTTTGAAAGGAAGAAAGGGTGTGTTTTTCACCAGATATTCTGTAAATTTGCTCCTCCATATAACTTGTTGTTGTTAGTTGCGAAGTCATGTCCGACCCA